GCGTGACAAATAAATATCAATACAAAAAAACAACGCTGCTCGCCTCGTGTCCACAACAGTTTCGTGATGCTATAAGAATTATTTTCGTTTGTGAATTAAATCGTATTATAATTGGCCCTTTGTTTGTATATGCAAAGATAAATGATGTAGAACTCGTTTTCGACACGTCCAATACAATTTATTGAATATACACTTAACCATATGTTATTTTTAATTTATTTCATTCCTGTTAATATAAACAAAACAATTTACTTAAAAACTTAACAAACACACAAAGTATTTAAACCAATAACTGTTAGATATTTCGTAACCATTAGTTCCTATTGTGTTATTTTATAACGTTACTTGAGACCGGTCCGCATAACTCAGTTGGTGTCAAAAACAATATGAATTAGAAATTTTAAGGCACTCGAATACGAATGTGAATTTTAAGTACAAAAGGCCCGCAATGTCCGCAGTTTAGCATACTGAGTTACATCATAAAAACGAATAGGAATAAATCATGACGTCACTCCGAACGTCAGACAGTGTGGGACCGATTCCTGTCGACGTAAGGCATAGCATTCGCATTGTGATAGTATATTTGGCTCTTGTTTGGCCGCTGAATGCCAAATAGGCGAGTTCCATGACCGGCCGCGATCCGCACCGGCTATTGTGAATGCATTTGGAGTAGCCACGAGGCGGACAGATTATGTTGTGATAAAACTGGATAACACCTAATAGTACTTATTAACGAATGCGCACCGCGAAAGGAGGCGTGGGAGATATTTTATTCAAGCCGATTCACTGAATGAAGCCATATTGAATGAGTTAGCACGCACTGCAATCCCAGACTGACGCCAATAAAGAAAGTCTCTAGACTATTGCTGTTATATTAAACAAACTGATAACAAATATACTCACTTATTAAGTCTTTAGGTTAAAATTTATTAGAGATAGTTATTTTAATGTTGTATAGAATTTGAATTTCACAATAAAATATCATCACTAATATTTTATTCAAGGTCGTTTTTCGTGAACTATTTTTAAAATTATTGTGAATAAATAACCTTTACAATGATGTCAGTTTTTAAGAATTTACAAATAAAAAACTCAGCGACAGTGAAATGAGCAAAACATAAATCCAACTCTACATCAAAACTTTCGCGAGAAATAATGAAACGTACAATGAGTAGGTACAGTCGCGTCCATTATTTGCTAATATTTGGACCGTACGACTATGGCATAAGGTTTTAAAATCAACACTGCAAAGAGTGTATATAAATGTATGCATATTGCGGTGCTCCCGCGCGAGTAGCGCAAACGCACAGCAAATATATTGCTGGATATCGCTCGTAACACATAGCCCTGTTTATGGCGTACACTTCTGCACAATTTTATTGCGTTATAAAGGAATGGACACACTGATATAGGTAGTGAATATAAATATATATGTAGAGTCTTCCAACAAATTCGTTATCGACACAAAAGTATCATATGAAAAAGTCAACAAAGTTTCCTAAGGAACTAATATCACGAATTAAATTATTGAATTTTAAAGAAAAACAAACTATAAAATGGAAATCCTTTTTAGTTTAAAATGAGATAAAAAATGAAATGTGTCAATTATGGAAAGGTTTAAAAAAATTATACAAATAAATAATTATCTATGTCTATAATTATAATACTATAAGAGGGAAGATTTATATTTTTTCATGTATTGAAATAACTCCAATAATATTGGTTCGATTTCAAAAATTCTATCACCATTAAAAAGTACGGTATCAGTCAGTAATAAATATAATCTTTTAATATTTTTTTTTTATTTCATGCAGGCGAAATCGCGCGCAATACCTAGTATTAAAATACAGATAATGTATAACAGTCTTTATTCTTAAAGCGTTTCCACACAGAAGTGGCTGTTACCCTAGCGCTCGCGTTTTGTTTCCACGACTCTGCATAATGTCCAACGACAGCCAGGCTTGTTGCCTCACCTTGTATTTGAAGTTAAATTATTTAATACTTGAACCATATTATACTTGAGACAAAGTAAGTCCTATGAGACGTAACATTGTAACTCATATGTACAACAATGATTATTGCTATTTCTAAGAAATAACAGACTTTGAAATAGTGTAAAAAATGGGACCACCTTGCCTATTTTAAAATGCTGTTTAATATAACTGGGCTATAAAATGCACCTTAAAAAGCGCTCTCTCTAGTGAAATAAGTTTAATGAAATTAAAAATCAAATGTCATAAAAAGCAATGGTTATGATTTGTGTGTATAATAATAGACATAACAATTCTGTAATGTTTAAGTGGATTCAACATTTAAATGTTTTTTTACGCTAGCAACTTTGCCATTTCTATGTAAATTGAATCGGCAAGTAAAAACGTAGTTTTAATAAAAACGTGCAGTAGCTTCAGAATTGCAATAACACTCGTGACTTAAACACCGCTTAAGTTAATTACGAACGGAATATGCAGTTTACGATCGCATCCCTTTTCATAATCATGAAAAAAAACGTCACGTACTAAAATGTTTATATCTCTACCATCTATAGTAAACAAGTCGGTGGCAAAACTTACTTTATTACAATGTTAACCGCTTAACAAGAGTTATTACCACATTTACATTCGTATACTTTCGTTGTTTGAACGTAAGACAAAATTTACGAAACAGACAAACTAATCCGACTCATTAATATAATAATGCGAACCCATTGTCTGTGTATTTTATTAGGTGGTTTTAATTTTTATCATGGACGAGTGAGACATCTAATTTGTATTGTAAAAAGATTCCCACTTTTATGATTTTTTTAGTGTCAAGTGCAATCATGTTAATGTTGAATAAAAATTAATTATTAATTTCTTTGTTCTAACGCTCCAACATCTTTGTCGGCTTGCACTGTTGTAACAACCCATTACAATGGCCGTTCTAATTCTGAGATTTAATAAAATATTTTGCATTGTGTTCGTAATATTATTTAGCTAAAAGCGTTTTATGATTCGACTACAATACAATGTTATTGTTATTGAAAGGATATATTGCATTATAATAATAAGGTGGCTCGACATTTATAAGTAATATTAAATTGAGTGTTTACTATGGATTTCTAAACAGAATAGACTCGAAATGTGTCTGGAATTACATCAAATAACACTGATAAAATAAAAAATTGAAATCAAGACTTGATATTCCAATCTTATCTATATAATAACATTATAAAGATGAAAAATTTGATTGTATCGAATAATCTCCGAATCTAGTCAAATAATTTGAAACATTATTTCAATTTTGTAAAGCCACACTATCAGTGCACGATATAGACTATATTACTAATATTATTAATGCAAAAGTTTAAAAGGATGGATGGATGTTTGTTAGAGTTTGTAGCCTTAACCGCTAAACGGATCTCGATGAAATTTGGCATGAATGTAGATGATAGTCTGGAAGAACACGTAGGCTACTCATTTTTGTTTTCTAAATCCTACGCGGACGGAGTCGCGAGCGAAAGCTAGTAAACTGTATTACGAGATTTAATTCTACACCAAAGCCGCGGGCAAAAGATAGTTAAATATGAATACAGTACAGAGTACACATAATTGTGTTCATTGAAATTAAGAGTGAGGATTCAATCTGCCCTGGTCGGGTAACGGTATCTTGGTACAGTACGCTGACTTTAAATATTAAAAGTACTCGGCTGGCTGCATATCAACTTAAGTACCATGACTCTACTTAATTATCCGCGACACGGACACTCTTAACTCCAACAGAAGTCGAGGTGTTATTAAGAAAAACAATTTTATGTGTACTATAATTTTTGTTACTCTTTGTGTTCGAAATAAATAAACATAAAAAAGTATACAAACTATTAAATACTTTTGCACCCCATCCTAATATTTGTATATGAAAATATAATTTATTTTTATTAACAAAATGACATCGAGATGCGTTCAGCAGTTTAGGCTACAAACTCTAACAAACATCTATCCATCTCTTTCGCATTCATAATATTAGTAAGAAGTGGGATTAGTAAGATTTCAAAGCATGACCACTGTTTTATATTACTAAAAATTCCTCAGCAAACTATAATTCACTTTTTCACTTATTTATAAACATCTTAACCGTTTTTTATTCAATGTTTATTGCTCTTTATGAATATTTCATACGAATGGTTAATGCAGTAACTAATTGCTTCCAATCTTTGAATTATGAAAGCATTTCTAAAAACTGCGACATTCGGTAGTGTCTACTCTATTTACAGTATTCAGGTAAATTATAGTATTACGGGCACGAGCTAGTCGTTACGAGATGCCTTTGCGACTTCATCTGCCGACAGCCGAATGTCGCATTGCCTCAAACACAGATTAAACGTTGAAAGAAGTACCGCCGCTGTACAAACGATAGTACGTGCTATTCCACGAAACACAAACTCTATGTTGTCTAAAAAGTACAGAGTTCCGACCACACTAAGATTTTTTATCTTGCAACAATGTGTACGCGACCTAACTGGTCTCGGATCATAGACTTAGGTTAACGTAAATTTAAAAAGGCAATTTAGGAAAGCTATAAAACGTTTACGCTTTATAACTGCCATAATTCCTGCTCTATATCTTTATAAAAGGAGCTTATGACCATATATGTTGACTAGTTATTGCCCACGACATCGCGTGGAGTTATTCAATTATTCAACCCTTGGAGGTATAATTTTCTAAAAAAAGATGATTTATCGTTAGGTTTTTAATGGATAGTTTAATAGGCATTGCCTTATCTGGTAGTACTGTCTTGCAATTTTCCTTTCATCGCCTTTTTCTGCATTGTTTTCAAAAAGTCTACAACACCGTTGTAGATACATTAAAAAGTGTTCACTCGTATTATTTAATCATATAATTCTATTATTATTAGTGTTTGATTGTATCATAATCCGAGATAGAACAACCTTGTTATGAACAACCAGCAGTCAAAAAGATACGAATGACTTCAGTTGATATTTAACAAATTGGTCGGATTCTTACACTCACCAATCTTCGCTTTGGCTTGATTAGAGGTCTGTTCTGTCCGTTCATCTTGTAGTAAAGTCCGCACGCGTTGCAGAGGTAGTGTCCGGTCCCGTCGCGTCGCCACAGCGGCGTGCTCGTCGCCCCGCAATTGACGCACTCGCGACCCTCTGTTATTAAACAAAAATCAATCAAATCCACAATAAAACTGAAGTAACAATGAATTGGAAGAAAGCTATTTAATGAAATAGTATAAATGTTATAGGAATTTAACATGAGATTGTGGAAATAATGCATAGAAATTTAGTGATAATTGCATGTTCTCTGAGTGATTTTACCTGATTCCTGGCAGGCTGGGGAAGACGAGAGAAAACATTCAGAAACATTACAAATCAAATATCACTAACTAATCTAACATGCAGACACGAAACACATTTAATAATACTAATAAATATACCATAACTTTGAAAGCAATATAAATCGCAATCAAGTATACAATTAACAAGAGAAAGCGCACGAAGTTTCACTCGTAGGAAAAATATCAAGATTTTTTTACACGCAAAGAAAAATCTAGAGAAAGTAAACTAACATACTAACATGCAACCAACCCTTAAAACATAAATAACGGTTAACTACATTTCAATAAAAAGTAAATAAACACTAGATATTTTACTAAAATTTAAATCTCCTCAAATTATGAATACACAAAACCTATCATTTTACGCTTATCAAAAGTAACAAACCTTATAAGGACAACTTGAAGTTATTTCTGTTATCGTATTGTAATGACTAAAACGATATAAAGTCTATTTGTACAGAACTAAATACTGTTAAAAACAAATGAATGTAAAAATGTAATATCGATGAGCAATTATATTTTTTATTCGAAATTGAAGCAACAAAAGCAGATTATAAAACAATGCCAGTTGCAAAAATGTAGGAGAGCGTCTGCATAGTAAACAGAGCAGAAACGGAGCTATAAAGCAAAGTATTGCCTACATGCTAATTCTTACTATATGTAATTATATACCGATGTACATAGTCCGTCTAAACAATCTTCAACGCAAGGCATATCACTTCAACCGTAAATAGTTTTATGTTAACAAAGAAATTAAAATAAAGCTCTAGGAAATATAATAACACTAATAAAAACTTTATCTCAAATAAGTCCACACACGTTAATTGGTCACTAAAGATCCCAATAAGGGATTACTTAAGTAACCATTAAACTGAGTGCGGGATTTAAAGTATTCTCACAAGTCTACCAACTGATACATGCTGCAACTTAACGTCCATTAAATCATGCATATAAAATATAATTTGACCCCAGAACGAGCGGCCCTCCGGGAAATATTGCAGTTTTTTTACTTTCGGCCCCTTTTTTGAAGAAAACAAGGCATTTCACAAGAGCGTTCACATTGTTAGTGAGAGGATGTGCACGCATATGGGATGCGCGTGCGCCGCCCACCTCTCTCTAAACTCGATTACACTACCGATGATTTACAGAGATCGAATTTAGAAGCTCGCCTCGTTACACCTATACACACATACATACACGACCAATTAAAGAATGACTTAACTGGCAATACATTAACTTTAAAAAACTGCACTCGTAATAACGCTGGGTAATGAGGTTCTCTATCGTATTACTACAAATGGTTTTTCTCGACTAACTTTATTACAGCATGCTTCATATCGTTTGCTAATTAATTCTGAATAAAAAAAGCTTAGTTGAATGAATATTATCATAATTTATTTAATTATTTTTAGCTTGTTATCTTAAATCCAATGAAAAAATGTTAGATTTTTTGTTTACACTTTCTACGGAAAGTGATAGTAATGTTATGTTGCCAGTTTATTGCTCCGTGAATTATATAACAGGTGTAATTGATAAATATCTAAAACGTAACAATATGTATCTAGATCTGATTTATCAAGTCCCCGTTCAGAGATCGCGGCGCGCTGAATAAATAATGAGGGCCGCGCAGGATCTAACGAGGAAGGTGAAAGTGCTCTAATAAACCTCATACAATGAATAAAAAACGTATTAAAAACACAAAATGGTCTTCGGGCTCAAGGCATCGAGCCATTCATCTTTTTTTATGTAAAACCAGATCACAACCGGCAATTAAATCGCCCGGACCTTATCGAAAACTTATTGCGATCGAACCGACGACTCACTTTTTGGACTAACCCTTTATTTTTTGTAGCGTCGATAAAGCCTGTAATTTGTTCCGAAGTTTCTAATAAATAAACACCAATAACGATTATTAAGAAAAAATGATAGGATATTACACGCGGTTAGAGTTGTGGAACGGTGTCTCTCGCTCGTGAAGTGATTTCGTTCGATTGTAACGTCTCTATTGATAACTATTGTGAAAGTGTTGCCAGCGGCCGCAGCCGCCGACTCCGGTGCTTTACAAGATTTACTGCTCGCCGCACTCATATACTCATACGTATTATTAAAGAGAATAGACTTTCTGATTAATTACCCAGCCTTATAATTGTTCGGGCCTGTTCAATCTGTAACGTAACGGTGTTAATTCGGTAACGTTGTGAGAATTATTTCTTTATTTCCACGACTCGGCGGCTATCGACGCATCAGCACACGCCGCTTTTGATACCGGACGTGAGCTTGACGCGAAATAAAGATACGATTTAGTGCGCTCGTAACTGTACCACCGACTAAAGATAAACCTATTCGGAGCGGACGAGCGAAGATTGAGCTTTGAACGCAAAAATTCCAGTGTTTGTTCAAAAATTAGAATGCGGTCCGCCGTTTAGTGGCCGAGTGGAGCTCGGTCGTGACGCGGCGGCGCTACGTGACCGCGATAAAAGATTCTCATCTGCCGTATTTACGCAGCGGAGTGGGCGGTTTTTATTTTTTCGAGAGTCTCCCGGCGAGCCCACTCGAGCCGTCGAGTGCGCGGAAACTTTTCACACGCCCCTCGCGCGTGGGGAAAACGTCCCCGCGCTGAATCCACGCGCCGATTCAGCTGATCGTGCAGAATGCGTTGCTAGTCCAACCCGTACTCCCTGCGGCTAGTGAAGCATCAAACAAACAAAAACAACTTGACGATCGATGAGAGAAAAACTTCCAACACCCGACAGCGGCAACGTTAATGTAATTTAAATGAAGGACTGATTCGCCGGCGCAACGCGGCGCGGCGTGTACCGTGACGCGCTCTCGGTGCATCGGCCCATCAACACGTAACGGTGTGGCTATTTTGCATACAAAACCATTATGTTATTGCTCAAAAACTTATTGTTGCGCCACAAAGCCCGGCATTACTCCTTAATTACACGCCTGTATGCAAATATATTTAATGGAAACCAATCTGTATTGAGATTGGATTTTAAGCTGCCAGTGTATTTTGAGGTTAGAATTAAAGTAACAATGGTAAGTGAAATAAAATCATTAGGTCGGGTAGAGTAATGAAGTCATTTTTCACACACAGAGGTCGCCAGTAGTGGCGCGGTGGCGCAGCGATCATATTTGCATTTGTTATTAGCATACATTCAGATAATTACGTGTGACGAGCGAGGCAGTGGGGGCCGGGTCTCATAATTAAAGCCAACAGTCCCACCATGAAGGTTTAATGTCAGTACACGTCGCAACTACAGGAATTGTAAGGAAATCAACTGTTGAATTTTTATGTAAAGATAATACACTGTCCACGGCTTCTAAATTGCATTCTAAATTGTCAAACATAATTAATTTAATTCGAATTAAACTGCACAGCGTTTCTGCGAGTAAAACTGCGTGTTACAGCTAGTATTAGACAAGCAAAGATTTCAACTAATTTATGAAGTCAAGTTACAAATGTATAAATCATAAACGTCGAATAAATTTATTACATGAACGGAAATAGTGTGTTGACACTAATAGAAATATTATACGTTTATATAAAATTTATATTTATTAATATTCTATTATTATCGATATGATAATTATCGTTATTCACTCGCGACAGCGTCTAACTTCTTTTATAACGTACTAGCTGTTCCCGTGCGACTTCATCCGCATGAAATTATGAAAATTTTATTTTATTGTTTACATTTGTCAAATTATCAATAACAAATGTCAAAATGACATGACATGACGACAACCTTGCGTCCTTCATGTTGGCAGTAACTTATGGTCTCTTTCCCACATTAGGGTTTTATCCAAAATATTTACCCCCTAAGTTTAATGGCGTGAAAATATATAGCCTAAAGCCTGTCGTAAGTGTATGGCTTTTTATTAAAAAAAAGAATTATTCAAAAATATGCTGTAATTGCTGACAACTTAGGCAACAAAGAAGTGTGTGTTTACGCTTTATTATAATAGTATAGATTATTTTTGTAACTTTTTTTTAATTTCTAAGTACATGTTCTATTGTTATTATTTTTAATTTTATATTCAATTTTTTTATTTAAATTCGCCAGAATAATGTTTATCACAAATTATTTCCTATTATTGTATAAGAATAAATTAATTTAAATGACATTAAAAATAGAAATTCAACGGAAACTGAACAACAAAATTAAAAAATCCTTATCGTCCTCTAAACAATAAGTAACTTTTTCTTTTGTTTTAAACAAAGAAATCTAGGTACATTATTCATATAAAGATATTCAGATATTCCAGAAAATACGGTAACTCTTTGTCTGTAAAATAGCAATTTATTAAATAAAATTTATCGAAATAACTCTAATGAATTTCTTTGTTTCTATATAATATTTAAATAATATCTAAATTAATTATTCCAGACATTAACCGTTCTATAACCTAGACAGAATTAACATTTAACTTTTATTTATTTGACTCATAAACTATAAAAATTATTATGAAATAATACTTGGTTTTAACTTATAAGTAAAAAGTCAGATGTACAGTTGAGGAAGTTTATTTCCTACCCATTTGGGTAAAAAAAAAAGTAATTTGACGCTTTCAATACTATTACGTTGAAAACTTGTCATATAATTTTAATTATATTAATATTATAAATGCGAAAGTTTAGATGGAGATTTGATAGTGTTTGTAGCCTAAACGGCTTAACAGATCTCGATGAAATTTGGCATAGATGTAGAGGATAGTCTGGAAAGACACATAGGCTCTCTCACTTTTGTTTTCTTTAAAATCCACGTAAAATGAGTCGCGGGCGACAGCTAGTACGTCACTAATTTGTAGCTTCAATGGTGACATTTTTTATAAGCTACGTTGTTGTCGAATTTAATTCTTTACCGTACCCTAATGACAGTTTTATCGTTGAATTAATTGTTAATTCACCGAAAGCTAAATGCAAATTTCGTTTGGTGCAATTGTATCCCACATTGTGGGCATCGTACCGTGACTACCTACTGTACGGTTTTAAACACGAAAATATTCATTACAGCCTTGTTTCAAAATACTCCGCTCTAACGGCTCACATTGTGCTGTTTGGAAACAATCAAAATGGTATATTAAACGTAAAACCATTGTTTATCTCGCTTTTTTTTTCTTATTCGCTAACAGGATCTCGTTTGGTTAAATTATCGCGGTTAGATAAAATCGAATAGACAATTTCATTTGTTTTTTAACGTCTGTCTACTTTAAATGCTCTAATGTTTTAATTCGTGTTAAGATAATGAGTTAATTTAGATATTTATTACCAAAAACAGCCAGTGCCAGCATTAAAACATTTTTTTTAAAACGTGCCTGTGCTACCATAGTAAAAATAAATGTTATAGTCATAATAACTTCGTAAGGCTATGTAAGCTTATTAAATTTAGCAATATTATAAATAGACCTCTGAGAAAATTATAAAAAAAAACTAAACAAAAATAGCACCATTAAGAGAGCCGTCTCGACTTCATTCCTCTGACCCGGCCGTCCGTGGAGTAGGCACACGCTAGCTTGGCTGACTATTACTGTCTAAAATATCTGCTAATATATGCAGTATTCCGATAGTATAAAGACTATAATCGCGCAAACATCATCATGGAATAGTACTATCAACTGTTTTCCCGAATGTACCTCGGATAATTGGTTGCGCAACTATTCGCAAAACATCTTTGTTGCAGCATACGTGATGTGCATAGACAAGCTCGTATAATGAATAATATGACAATTGATAATAAGTCCTATGACATTAAATATAAGATTCAAAATGAATTATCCAGTTTACAACAGAACCGTTGCATATACGTTGTCTGTAGAATTTAATGTTGAATTAAACGAATGACAATATAGTGAACTTGCAAAAAAAGTTTGGATATAAAAGGGAAAGAAAATAATAATAAATACTACAAAAAGTAAGTCAACATCATCCCTTCTTTTTCCGTAGGGTCCGATCATTGAATTTCCTCCAGATAACTCTACCATCCGTGACCTCAGTCAGCATTCCTTTCTTGATCGTATCACCTTCCAAACAATCCATACATCTTTTCCAAGTCTACCTCTACCTTACATCACAAACAATAAAACAAAAGAAGACGGAGCTAATAGTAATCCCTACAAGAACAACTGTAAAACAAATGAATTAAACCCTGGCAATCAAACGTAACTCAATCTAATAAAAAAAGTAGCTAGATTCCAAAGCTGCGAGTTCCTCTCGTGTCTTGTTTTACAGCATTAGAGGCCCGAGGTCAAGCGATCGGCAACAATGGAATGGGCCACATCCGGCCGAGCGGTATTATCATAATATTGCTTCCACTAAGGTACTGCCGGTGCCGATACACCGACATTAACACCGCCATTCGCAATTCAAACCTATTTGAATACGGTATTACAATGCACAGTAAACTTGAAGACAGAACTCATTAAACTACCACTTTAAATTGAGGAACAGTTTTATCACTAAACACTACAAATATATTTGTAACTAGCTTACGACTGTGACTTCGTTCGCGGGGTATTAATAAAACACAAGTGAGTAGCCTATGTTTTCTTCTATACGATGCTTTACATCTATACCAAATTTCATCCAGATCCGTTAAGCCGTTTAGGCTACAAACTCTAACAAACATCCATCCATCGATCTAAACTTTCGCATTTATAATATAAGTAAGAAGAAAGAACTAGGATTAAAATCTATACTTGCTGTTGTTTTCACTTAAAAAATTATTACTTCAATCAATTAACTCTTCTAATCTCGTTATATAAAAAAATCTAGCCATGCTTTTTATCTGCTTAATTAAAGATTTCAAAAAGATGTTAAAATACAAAAAAACGATGTAAACACATAAGCTATTATTTAAATTTTCCAAGGCTAATCGACTGGCAATAGAATAAACCGGCGATTCAATAAACAAGCTAACAACCAATTTCCAATTATCCAACACGTCTTGCTTCGTAAATATCGTTTTTTTCAACGTCTTGTACGAGTTTATGCCAACGTTAACTACGCACTGTCTAGCGATGCATAATGATAGAATAACGATTTGTAGCCATAAATAACCTAAGATTTTGTATTCTTTGATACCAATATTGTAAACGTTAATCTTTGCAAATTAAAAAAGTAATCTATACTAATATTATAAAGAGCAAAGATTTGCACTTTGTATTTTTGGTTGTTCATGTGTTTGATTCAGGCAAAAACTACTGGACCGATTTTTAAAATTCTTTCACCATTACAAAGGTAATTTATCTGTGAGTAACATAGGGTATATGTAGGTATTATATTTTAATTTCACGCGAGCGATAAATTGTAATGACCTGTAGATCCAGTCCAGATCGAACTTAGAAAGAAAACAATGAAAAAGCTACTAAAATGACAATAGTATCATTCTTAAGTCGTTCTTTTATTCAAAATTTTCTAAGTCAAGCTCCATTAATACTTTCCAATTGATAAATATGTACAAAATATATTTTACTATACTATATATTTTACTTCCTAGTAAGTAACATTCTTCTAAAAAAATAACTAAACATTTCGCGAATTTTTATCTATTTAGCTTCATAAGTGTGTCAATGTATGTACAACTACACTTCCGTTACAAATATATTTGCATGTTAACGGTGAGTGTAAGTTAACAATAGCTTTTATATTTGTTCTAACACATAGCTTTTTCTGCATAATTAGAAACTTGTTCGTGTTATCCATCCCAACTAATTATTCCATGAGAACTCAGATAAGATTAGAAGTTTGAGATTGAAATGTAATGTAAATTCATTTTAAATTTCACAAAAATATTGAATAAACATAACGAAGTTCATACATGGTAGTCTAAATTAACCGCCACTAACACTCCAAATGAAACAATAAGCGGTTGCCGGTTTTGTTCTCTCCATTGTCAAAGCTTAACAACAGAGTTATAATTGCATATTTATGAATAAAATAAAGCGGCTCTAATCCGTAATACAGTTATAGTTGAGTAATACTTAGTAACAATCGTCATAACTAAGTTTTCGATTGCGAAAATTTTGCATCCAATTGTCGGTAGTAACAATGGTTGCATTAATACAAAGGTCAATCGGATAGAACAGCCGCGAGCACAGCCCTCATATAGCACAAACTGGGAGTTCTTAAGATTGTTAACCATGTCGTAATAAATAGCCGGCATTTGCCGAGCGAAATGGGGAAATAGCTCATCGCGTCGATTTCGAAAATTGAGTTGAAATCTAGTTAAGAGCATTTGTTTAATTACTCGAGTATAAACAATAGCGCGGTGCAATTATATAAGTAATGGGAACTGCCAGTTGCCTTAGCCGTAGCGCCGCCGGTTCACATGTCCAGTGAAACAATGAACACAGCGTTCGCAACTTGAAGTTTCAAATTAGATTTGTTCTCAAAAGGATCTTTCGATTCCGCTATGACCTATTATCAAGTTAAAAATATTTGCAATTTACTAAAATCGGCATTCTAAGGGAAACATATTATTTACAGTTCAATTTACATGAAAATTAAGAGAGCATCTCCTATATAAAATACCATCACCAGCTCAAATATTTATAAGTATAGATTCCTTCACCATCACCATAGCAGTTAGTAAAAGCGTTAGTAACACCGAATAAAAACCGAAGCGGCTTCCCGATGCGAATCATTGCGATTTATGATGAGATAATTTAGCGCCACATCCCCCAGTGCGAGACAACACGCTTATCCGATCACATCTCATCTAACACAATTATTAGATAATATGATTTAGAAATGCCAAATGAAATATTAATCTCGATAATTCGTGAATGAGACAATCTGTGGTGAGATTCTAATTACGTGGTCGGTGTTCGCGGCTGCATTCAGCTGCGTCTATTAACAAGCTTTGGTTCTGATTTATTGGCTGATTAACGAAGATAGACTTTGTTAGTGTAAGCCATATTTCGTCGCACCGACCGCAGTACAAGCTGTTCTCGCATTTATAGCGCTTTGCTGTTGACACTTAAATACATCAATACTTTCTAAATCAGATAATACATCTTCATTACTATCTGTTTTGCTTTTATACAATTTTAATGATAACAGTACCAGATTAAGAGTACGGTTCAGTACTTCATTTAATGGAAAAATATAAACAGTTTTGTTGAAATTTAAAATAGAATAAGATTGTGATCGGATAAGTAAGTGTTGCCGTTAATGTAGTGCCGAGTGCTTAGGGAGTTAGAGAGAGTGAGGCGAGTGCAGTGAGGAGCACGCGGACTCACCGGCGCTCGTGCGCGTCTTGTTGGGGCGCGGCTTGCTCTGTTGCTGACTATAGCCTTTGCCCTGGTAGCCGTAGTAGTCGCCGGCGGCGGCATTGTACTGCGTGTTGTACTCCCCGGAGGGCTGGCTCGTGTCCTGGGGGCACGAGTCGGGCTGCGCACCTTCGCGCTGCTTGCTGGGTGGCGCGCCCATCATGGGCTTGACGTCCCCGCACAGGGGCAGCTCCTGCTGCTGCTGCATAAAGGCCACACTCATGGCGGTGGCGTGTGCAACAGCAGCCTGGTAGTCCTGCTGGCCCAGCGCCGCTGCCGCCACCGAGTCCGGCGTCGAGTCCTTGGGGGGAGTCGGAGGGAAGGAGAATAAGGGGTGGGGGTGGTGGTGCTGCGCGGGGGAGAGCGGCTTGTCTGCCTGTGCGCCATCCTGCTGGAAACCGCCACCCCACGCGCCGCCGCCCAGTGCCTTCGAGTCCAGCCAGGGGTGCAGCGGCGTGTGGAAGTGCGGCCTGCACACCTGTCCGCTGCCGCTGCTTAACGTTCGACCTGTGCAACAAAAACTTTTATTAAAGATTACTAATGTGACTTCTATTAATATTTTACACGAAAACAATTAATCTATTGAAATAGTTTTGTGTTTTGTTTTTTTTTTTTTGTTAAAATACAAACGAATTTCGAATTCAAGGACACATGGTTGAACTCGTTTATATCATTCAGTAGTGCTGGTAGCTTGACCAGTCCTACGCTACGCTACAATCATTAAAGCCGACAGCTAAAATGTTCGGACGCCCGCGCTCGCCCAAATTAATATCATTTGCCTTTAACAGCGGCTCTTTCACGCGACATCTCTATTCAACGTAATTATAATAGTACGCCAGTGGTGTAGTGGTGCAGTTTAATGTGTATTTGATAAACAAATAATGATTGTTTGCGTCGGTCTCGTTGGCTGCGTCCGTGAACAAAGGCCGCTCTTTCCGAAATCGTTACAAAAGCGCTGTGTCACAACCTCGGACAATTAAAATTGTGGCCCACTTGGATATTTCATTAATTAGACAACTAAAAGGTGATTAATATTTACGTCATGAACTGTTTTGATTTTTTTACTCAAAATTAATTAACATTTCTCTTACATGTGTGTATATTTGTTTAAAACGTGGTTTATTACAAGGATTTATACAATAAAGTTGGTAGTAGTAGAAAAATGCTGACTAATAGATATCGATTTTATAAAAAAAATAGTTTAATTAATACTAACTGCCCCCATTTTCATACTTCTAATATGAACAAAATATGTCTTCTTTCCCGCATATTCACGGTACATAACCATGGAACATTACATATAATTTTTAAATAAACTTAAGGGAAGCACACCCCATTCAATTTCACAAACTACATTCGGCAATTATTATTTATAAAAGTGAAAACGAACATATGTACGGGCTCGTTATTGTGGGGTGCTGGTAGTCTGCTTGAGCGAGGATTGGTCGCCGTGGGCCCTTCGTCTGCGCTCCCCACGGCCCACGGCCCACAGCTCATGGCTGGGCAATTGTTGACGCATCCCTGTGGTGCTCCACGGGTTAGCAAATTACTCAGTAACAGTTAATTTACTGCCAAACCTATGTTTATTAGATGAGATTGCGATTTATAAATCTATCATGCGCCTCTATTTAATGTTTTATTAGTTAAGTCTACATTTAGATTATTGGATCCGATAATTTTAACAGCTGGAAAGAAGTTATCAAAGAAAATGATGAAAATGCAACTTTTTTATATATTGAGAAGTAACCTTAAATATTATGAATTGTTAATAATGAATTCGATTTATACAAATCTTGCAAATGTTATTTATTAATTGCATAAACAGCTGCGCTTTATCGTATTAGAATAAATTAACATTATTCGAGTTATAGAGCTGATTAATAATTTATTATCATAAATGTATACTAATAAAGTGCATATGATTAACGATCTTCAAATAATAACAAAATTAACTAACTAATTTATTTAGACAATTCTATTAAAATAACGGAAAAAGAACATTTTTAAAACATTTGACTTCGTCTCGCTGCTAGCTAACATCTACTATTCCTGAGAACATTAACTACAATATTAACAAACTATATAACTGAACATATAAAGCACCAAAATCCATATAAAGAATCAAAACATAATACGAACATCAACAATGCCGAACGATCGCCTACTGCCCGCATGGCCTGTACCCAGGTGTCGATCGCACTGCAGATAATCAGCGATCGTATCGCAAGGGCACCCGTACATCGCGTCCCCACTACCAGCGTAACAGAGAGAAATGCTCTCTACGAGGAATGAATAATTAAATTATGTGAACTGTTGCCTAATTAATTACTTCGTTTACAACCGACTTTTAATTTTAACTAAATACGTTTATCAGAGTGACTTCAGTAAACTACCTCCGAATCGAAAAATTCTAGTTTCGGCCAAAGTATGAAAAATATATATTCAACATTATTATTTTATTATTCCCCATATATGATGCAATAAAAGGGAAAGCAATTTTTCTTTCATTTTACGTTATAAATCACCCTTAGCATCATTACTGAGCGAATAAAACAATAATCAATCGACGGCGTGACATTAGGCAGAGTCACAGAGTACACACGGGGCTTCAACAGCGACCACGGCAGCCGCCCCTCGCGCACAATACCACCGGCGATGGCGGCCCGATAACGCGTATGAATAATTCCTGTTATCGCTCCATCTCGCCACATGCCCTACCTGCCCTCCTACCATGCGATACAACGACCAAGCGATGTACTATAAAAATCGAATTCTTTCGGTTCGGAAGGGAATCGATTTGAAAGGGAAAGCGGTTACATGGTACCGGTCGCCAGCCGAGCTTTTTATTCATTAGAGGGCTGCAAAGTTTCGGCCATTGTGCTAGATACTCAAAGTGCCACTAAGCTGCGATTGTGTGGGGATTTGTGCCATATGAACCATTCGGATAAATAATAATAAATAAAAAACTTGCACTCCAATTGCTATTTCAATATGAGAACTTTGAATTTAAAAAAAAAAAAACATTGATCTAAAGACCTCATTACATTTTGTCACTGCTGATCAATAACTACAAGTATTAGATAAATATCGGACCTTACGTCTTGAAAACAAGATTATAAAAAATATTCTCATATGAGATACTGAAATTATGTTGTGAATAATCACCGTTTTGTCATCATTAAAGGTGTTATTCCAATATATCATTAAAATATATATCGTCATATTAAATTAAAATCCAATCAAAACCGGTTCAGCTGGTTCTCACAGTGTGTACGGAAACAAAACACCGGAATTGAACCGGGACCCCTGCAACAGCCCCCCAGCAGATGTGGCATCAGATCTTATCTGGCCGACTCCGCAGGCCTCCGCAAGTGTTAGCGATGCGTTCTCTTGTATACGCTTGTAACGGTCCTGATGCAACCCCTTTCACTATAATACTTTGTTACGTAAAAAGTTTATTGTCAAAAAAGTAATAGGTTTTTATAAATTGATTTATTACTATTTATGTGTTAACTTTCTGCTTCTGCATTACAATGTAATCCTTTTTCACGAGTCTATGTATTTTCCAAAGATTAATAGTTTCATGGTCGAACATGAAACAAATTTTCAGATCATTGTAAATACAAAAAAGTTGATTGTAATTCAGGCAATTTACTAGCCTCAGCGATACTGAAACTATGTTACAATAATTTCTAGAAAGAATTTTGTTACAGAACGTGATTTATTAATCTAAATTAAAATAAACAGTAGGAACATCGTGCCCTGTAGCGAGGCAAGGCCGGGCCGAGCGTCGACCAGTCTACGGACGTCGTTGCAGCCGCGCATCGACGCACGCCGCATACGCATGCGGGCGGCGTGCGCGGACGTGTGTTACGATCTTAAACCAACTTATGCCAACTTATCCCTTCCACTTATTGTCTTTAGACGTGTTATCCTTTGTTCCAGCGACGGATCATTACACTATACAACTGTACCCACCTGACCCATAACGCCGACAAGTTAGAGGTTAAATTCCTCTAGCAGTCGTCCCCTGTGAAATGTCCGACGTGTTAGCGAATGATAAATGTAGGCGTCGATATCGCGTATCGGATCTCACCGTTCGCACGCCGAATTAATTTTAATTTATTGATCGCCGTATCGACGCGGAGTATTTTAGCTGCCTACTACGTCGCCATCGCCGTGCAGCGCTCGCTTTGAACCTATACCATATTTAATACCGACATCGATACAAATACAATACAAACAACAACGCTGAGTGGTACCATGTTGTAATTAAAACAACCAAACAAACTTAAAGCAGCCATCCACGTACCCGTACCCACGATCCGTCGTACTATCGGTCAAGGTAACTGGAAGTACAATTCCAAATATTATTTATGACTCGATAGTTTCATTATGCCCTATAAAATAAGGCCACTTCGCAACATGAATGGCAAACCGGCCAGTTACTACTTTAGCGATGTAATTAATGCAATATTGTTAATGAAAAATATAAATCCTGCACACTTGTCGCCTGTCAACAACCAGATGATGTCATAATAAATTAAAATTAAAACTAAATAAATATTATTGCCATCATCGCATAAAACGTTAATGTATTTAAATGTAATCGCTAATAATGTGCAAATAAGGTGAACCGGATATATTGGATGCTATTTTCACACGCGATTTATTCTTCCAACTATTAATCCTTTAAACTAAGGAATTAATATCGAATTATTGGATCGTTTCACTTCACTACCGAGATATAGTGACAACACTGATGATATCTCACTCACCTGTCTAAAGTAACAAGTTAATATGCTTGTACGGTGTGAACTTTAATATAATTCCTTCGATCACAGTGATAAATGTGTAATTCATTCTTAACAACGTAAAGAAACATTTTACGTTTTAATATCGCTTACGTCAAAAAGAATCTCGTACTACGTATAATCAAGATAGTGTCTTAAGTAATAATAATATTTAATTAATCAATCGTCAAATAAATTAAAATTATAGTGGAACAAATAAAGATTTCTCCTACAACTTCGATATCCTGAGATCTAACTGGAGATGCTTAGACTAACAGAAAGCAGCATTTTGTTCTCTCTATCTCTGTCAAATTGAATTCCTTCGTATACTAAATAAGACGTTGTTGCCGCATATCATACTCTAGCGACGTAGCAATCATAAAAATCGTATTATAATCCAATCAGAAGTGACGGCGATGTGACCGCCCGCGAGATCGTTTTACCATTCGGGACGCGCTTCGTTCGATCGTAAAACATTTTTCGTTTGTACGACACTTATAAGAATTACAAGGACATATTGATACGAGGCATAATGTGAACGCGGCCGCGACATGTGTGGCGCGACCACTGGTGAGAGAACTGAACATAAATTAAACGACGCCTGTGAAAATCCTATTAAAATTCAAGCGACGATTTCTATCGTTTCATTTCTTAAACACCCAATTGTCACGGAATTATCAACATACGAATGGTGCATTATACGTGCGTAATATG